AAAATATTCTTAATTCTTACATATCCAGTGGAGTAGGGGGGAAGGGGGCGCCAGATTAAAAAAAAATGTCTGATAATCACGTATTTTATAAAAAAAAATATATCTTATTTTTGCACATTCTTGTATAACACGATGTTCTAGGTGTTGTGTATGTTTTTTGTGTTTTAAATTTGTTTACTATGTGAAATTGGCAAAAATAAACATACAAATAGACAAACATAAGCATCGTACTGTAAAAATGTACTGTATTTACTGTACCATACTTACCACTCCAATCTCAAAGACTCTGCATAGGGTGATGTACATAACACTACGCTCTTGTTTCAACAACCATGTGTTTGACGATCGCTGGATTGATGCAGCCTTTAGTACGGCGCTCCAACGAACTCAGAATTACACACTTTTCGAAGAATCGCACTGAAAATTTCCTGTTTGTATTACTGTAGTTCTCAGTCATGAAAAATGTATATACGTGCAGTATTTTCTTTGTTTAAGTTGTTGTATGTAGTTTATATTGCACCGTATATAATATTTGACACAAATCAAGAATAGATACTTTTTTTGTCACGCACAAGATGCTGATCGCCAGACTATTACAGCTTGGAGCGGTTTTCCGGCGATCGTCGGATTACATGCCGGTTTCACCGGATCGGCCTGGGACCGCCAGATAATGTTGGAAACCGGATAATTGTGTGCCGGATAATTTCTGATCAACTGAATCGGGTCTTCACTCATCACCACACCCTTATTTCTGTTACATTTCTAAGCAACACTAGCTCCAGGTCCCAAAATATCTATTGAACGTGAATATTAATTCTAGATTTGAAGCTTTCGTGACTGCAAGGATTCATACTCTTTGTTTTTTTTCGGTAAAGTCACGTAGATAAAACAAAATCAAAATAAAAGAAAAAAACGAAATCAAATCACGACGTTTCGGAGGCAACACAAGCTTCCGTCTTCAGGTGGAAGAGTCACAGCAAGATAGCTGCATCAAGTGGTGAGCTCTGAGACCCTCGAGCTTATATACAGGTTAAGGTGGGGGGGAGGAGCCAAGCAGGGAACGACGATGAGGCCAAGTTAATCCGTCTTTTGTTATTTTGAGGGTTCGGGGGAAGCGGTGGGGGTAATGAAAAATGGTAAAAAAAGGCTGTGCGCTTATAAGGTAGCTGAAGTTTTTACTTGGTTTATGACATCTTTCCAGTGGTTGCTTAATTTAAAACCATCCTCTCGGTTGAAGTTGTGTCTATGTTTGTAAATCTAGATGGCTTCATGGACAAATCTTTGGTAATAACCGGGAGGTTTGCATTGTACTTTGGTATTGGAGAAAACGATGTCATGAGAACCCGCTGTGTTGAGACAATGATCAGTCAACGGCCCAAGAATTCGTTCTGCCGTGTTTCAAATCTGATTTGTGCTCACGAATTCGGTCAGAAATGTCATTTCGTCTCCCCGATATAGCAATCACCGCAGATACAACTCAATTTGTAAACACCGGGGTACTGTAAGTCAGGAATGACATCCTTTACGGATGGGATCAGCTCACGGATTTTGTGTACTGTATTGAACCGAACCTGGATCTTGTGTTTGTTTAGAATTTTGGAAATTCTTTTGGTGATGCCTGCTATGTATGGCAGTGTGATGAATTTGATCGGAGTGTCAAGTGATTGCTTCTGTATGGTAGGAGAAGCAGCTTGGTGGATGATACGGTCAGAGTAACCGTTCATCTTGAGGGCTAGATGTACATGTTTCAATTCACTGGTCAGGTGGTGTTGGTCAGAAATGCAATGAGCTCTGTTATAATGTTTTGATGAGAGAATTCTTTTGAGCCGGGTGGTGGTGGGAATCAGGCTTCAAGTAGGAATTTGTGTGGGTGGACTTCATGTAAACAGAATGTCCCAAAGAGCCATCAGTCCTCCTCTCAAACAGAACATCCAAGAATGGCAGCTTGCCATCTTTCTCCACTTCCATGGTGAATTTGACAGATGGGTGTCTGGAATTTATGTGGTCTAGGAAATGGTTCAAAGCTGGGAGGCCATGTGGCCAAATGACAAAAGTGTCATCCACATATCTCTTCCACAGGGAAGGACGAAGGATGGATGTCTGGATGGCGTCTGATTCAAATTTCTCCTAAACATATGCCAGTAGAGGATATCATCTCTCAGGTCGATGTAGCCCTCAAAGGCATAGGACACATCCAAGCTGACGTTACAAGAGCTGAAATAGCCACTATTCTCAAGAATTCTAAGAAACCCATCGGCAATATTAGCAAAAACGAACGCTCTGAACTCGCGAATTTAAAAAAGAGGGATGATATAGTCATCCTCTCGGCCGACAAGGGCAATGCCACTGTCATTATGGATATAAACTCGTACAACAACAAAATCCAGGACCTACTCAATGATGGGAGTTACTCAAAAATTAAAAGTGATCCTACTAACAGCCTAACGATAAAAACCAACAAGATCATCACTAGTTCGACTTCCCTAATCGAACCAACCAAACGTCCCTCCCTAAAACCCTCTGCTGCAAGACCTCCCAGATTCTATGGTCTTCCCAAGATCCATAAAGAAAGTACCCCACTACAACCCATCGTGTCCATGATCAACTCCCCTACCTACAAGCTAGCCCGTTTTCAGTCGGATACTCTGCTCCCTTTCACTGGCAAGACCACCTTAGCAGTACTTAACTCAACCCAATTGGTTCCTATGGTCAAAGACATTGTTCTATCTCCTGACGATATCCTCGTCAGCTTTGATGTTGTTTCTCTGTTCACCAAGGTCCCAGTACCTGATACCATAACAATAATTGAGGATTTGATCCAACATGGACTGAACCCTGATGTACCTGCGCTGGTTAGGCACTGCCTCACCAACACTTACTTTACCTGGAATGGCACTTTCGACAAACAAAATGAGGGTACCCCTATGGGCTTCCTCTTGTCACCAGTGATAGCCAATGTTTTCATGGAGAAATTTGAATCAGACGCCATCCAGACATCCACCCTTCGTCCTTCCCTGTGGAAGAGATTTGTGGATGACACTTTCGTCATTTGGCCACATGGCCTCCCAGCTTTGAACCATTTCCTAGACCACATCAATTCCAGACACCCATCCATCAAATTCACCATGGAAGTGGAGAAAGATGGCAAGCTGCCATTCTTGGATGTTCTATTTGAGAGGACTGATGGCTCTTTGGGACATTCTGTTTACAGGAAGTCCACCCACACAGATTCCTACTTGAAGCCTGATTCCCACCACCACCCGGCTTAAAAGAATGATCTCATCAAAACATTATACCATAGAGCTCATTGCATTTCTGACTAACACCACCTGACCAGTGAATTGAAACATGTACATCTAGCCCTCAAGATGAACGGTTACTCTGACCGTATCATCCGTCAAGCTGTTTCTCCTACCATACAGAAGCAACCACTTGACACTCCGATCAAACTCATCACACTGCAATACATAGCAGGCGTCACCAAAAGGATTTCCAAACTTTTAAACAAACACAACATCCACGTTCGGTTCAATACAGTACACAAAATCCGTGATCTAATCCCATCCATAAAGGATGTCATTCCTGACTTACAGTACCCCGGTGTTTACAATTTGAGTTGTATCTGCGGTGATTGCTACATCGGGGAGACGAAACGACATATTTCTTACCGAATTCGCAAGCACAAATCAGATTTGAAACACGGCAGAATGAATTCTTGGGCCGTGGCTGATCATTGTCTCAACACAGCGGGTTCTCATGACATCGTTTTCTCCGATACCAAAGTACTCTGCAAACCTCTCGGTTATTACCAAAGATTTGTCCATGAAGCCATCCAGATTTACAAACATAGACACAACTTCAACCGAGAGGATGGTTTTAAATTAAGCAACCACTGGAAAGATGTCATAAACCAAGTAAAACTTCAGCTACCTTACAAGCGCACAGCCTTTTTTTACCATTTTTCATTGCCCCCGTGCAGTGAACCACCGCTTCCCCCGAACCCTCAATATAACAAAAGATGGATTAACTTGGCCTTGTCGTCGTTCCCTGCTTGGGTCCTCCCCCCCACTTTAACCTGTATATAAGCTCGAGGGTCTCGGAGCTTACCACTTGATGCAGCTATCTTGCTGTGACTGTTCCACCTGAAGACGGAAGCTTGTGTTGCCTCCGAAACGTCGTGATTTGATTTAGTTGTTTTCTTTTATTTAGATTTTGTTTTATCTACGTGACTTTACCGAAAAAACCAAAGAGTATGAACGTGAACATGTTGAATGATTTGGCTGTTATCTATGATGTATCTAGGAGGTGCAAGATTTCATTTAAAATCAACAGAAACTCAGATCCAGTCATTTTTATGAGGCGTTACAATCCAGGGGAGAACCTTCACAGGACCTCTGGAATTATTTACAGAGTCGTGCAGCCCACTGACAGCCGCGGAGCTGCTGATTGCGCCAGTACGTTCCCCTCTCGGCAACGTGCCGAGCCCAGCACAATAATTAAACTGAGCCCAAAACTGCCACCTTAATCCATATTTTAGCACCCACATTAGACAACCTGATGGCTGTGGGTGTGCTACCTCATCAATGCCAGAATAATATTTTATAGACCTCAGAGACATGCAAGTTATAACTTGATCCCAATGAGCCGCCCCGACTGGACATCTGTGAAAAAGAGCTGTATAGCTCATCGTATTCCTCCAGTATAAATTAATATTTAGATTCTGATTATGAACTACGACAGTTATGCTGAAACTCTAATCCTTTTCTGCAAAAGGGTGAGGGACTAGGGCTAATTAACAAAGATCAAATTAGGTTTAATAAAAGTTGATAACTGGACTCATTTGAACTCATCACATACAACAGATAATTATAAACTAATCAATTCTCATGTAAAAAATTCTTCAATATATGTGTAATGCATGAATAGATGCGTGTTCGTACCTCTTTAAACGTAAATATCTGGGTGGTTTTGGGTGGCGTGTGGGGTCAGGGGTTCCTTACCTGGCGAGGTGTAGGTAGTGGAGCGCATCCTCCGGGTGACCCTGCTTGAGGTGTAGCTGTCCCAGCTCATACAGGGCGTTCGGCACCAAGAAGTGATCATACTTGATTCGCTTCTCGCTGTCGAGGACCAAGACAAAGACTATGTGTCAACACTCACAAGTGACGTAACAGTGTTACGTCATTCGTGAAGGCACGTCCACACCTGTCGCTTGCAACCAAGTCGCTAATAATGAGTGGACGCCTCTGCAACTAGAGATATCCGCTTATGAGAAGGCAATTAAGTTGCGTGAAAATGGAAAATTAAGCTAGTGATGAAGGGAAGATGTGATGATGTAGCATCAACATTTAAAAAGTTTTGAATTCAGTGTGGACATGATTAAATTGTTTTAATTTAAATTTAACTACAATTCAAGTAAATGTTACCTTTCATTTTTTCTCAAAGAGTTTGTGAACCACTCATTGTAAATAACACACATTTCTACTCGAATAAAATAACAGCTTTTAATGCTAAGTTTTGGGATGAATGTGTTTGTTTGTCTGAACCTCTGCCACACTTCGTTGAAGCACAACTCTGCCTGCAGATATCGGCCCAGTTGCGTGAGGCAGGCTCCCTTGAGCAGTTGCACGAGTGATTGGTCATCTGCCAAAAACTCGTTGTCTTCTGCAGGTAAACAAGCAATTGTGTATTATTAACCACGACCTGTTCATCATTGGTTATTTGAAATGCTGACGCACGCTTGTAAGTGTGCATAGGACGACTTACATGGAGGACAAAAAGGGTGGATAGACCCAAGTGTTATTGGTGGAAGGTAAATGCTCATGAATGGAATGACAGGATGTGGCTTGTGAAGCTCTCATACTTGCAACTTTCAGCGCTGCTTCAGCTGCCTCAATGGTAACGAGGATCTTGTCTGTGAGATCCTTGCGCTTGCCGACGATGCTGAACCCATTCCAAACGTACATCATCTCCTAGCCATAGCGACAGCATGAGAGCACTGATGATTAATGAAGGTTCTTCGTCATCAAAACCTTTTAATAAACATGTATCACCATAAGCTGCCATAGCCAAATTGAGGAAATTAGAGAATTTTAACAATTCTACTATTGAGAATTATTTGAAGAAATTAAATGTCCCATACCGATCTGCATGTAAATAAAAAAATCAACGATCACAGGGATTGGAAACCAGGGGTCGCAAACCTTTGAAAGAAAATCAATGTTTTTGTTTTTGTCTTTCACTAAAATAGTTTACAAGCCACATGACACACAGAGTTACTTGTACACATACACAAACACAGTGGCAGGTATCTGGCAAATTGCAAACAAATTATGAGTGAAGCAAAACAGTTGATGGAACAAACTGCATCCATTTAAATTTTGATTTAAAGCTTTCGTGACTGCAGGGATTCATAGTCTTGGGTCTTTCGGTAAAGTCACGTAGAAGGGAAACAAACTGGCTCATTTTCTGTCTGAAATTCTGCGGCCTTTCACTGGAAAAACCACCTCTACGGTACAAAATTCTACTCACTTGGTATCGACAATCAAGGGTATTTCCCTGTCCCCTGACGACCTGCTTGTCAGTTTTGATGTAGTTTCCTTATTCACCAAGGTTCCTGTACCTGACACCATCGCAATCATTGAAGACTTGGTTCATCAAGGACTGAACACTGAGGTACCCCCCCCCCTGGTAAGACACTGCTTAACCAATACATACTTCACTTGGAATGGAATTTTCTACAAAGAAACTGAGGGCACCCCAAAGGGCTCCCCTCTATCTCCGGTTGTAGCCAACATTTTCATGGAGAAATTTGAGACTGACGCCATCCAGACTGCCATTCTGCGCCCAACCTTCTGGAAGAGGTACGTGGATGACACTTTTGTCATCTGGCCACATGGCCGGCCTGCTCTAGACCAATTCTTCGACCACATAAATTCCATACACCCAACCATCAGATTTACCATGGAAGTCGAAAAAGATGGCAATCTACCTTTTTTGGATGTCCTAATAAAAAAGAGACCTGATGGTTCAATGAGCCACTCTGTCTACAGGAAAGCTACCCATACGGATGCTTACCTGAAACCGGATTCCCACCACCATCCATCCTAGAAGAATTCCCTCATCAAGACTCTGTCTGCACCATAGAGCCCAATGCATATCCGACCAGGAACATATAGCCAGTGAACTCAAGCACGTACACCAAGCTCTTAAGGCTAATGGTAATTCCGACTACACAATCCGCAAAGCTATCACTCCAACCATGAAGAAGGACCCTCTTGAGGAGCCTTTCAAAACCATCACTTTACCCTACATTGCGGCGATCACAAAAAAGATCTCCAAAATCTCGAATAAACACAAGATCCAGGTCCGATTCAACACATTACATAAAATCCGTGATCTGGTTCCGTCTGTAAAAGATGTGATTCCGGACATACAGTACCCTGGCGTCTACAAACTAAGTTGCCTCTTGTGGTCGTAGTTACATTGGAGAAACCAAACGACATGTCTCGGACCGCACTCGTGAACACAAAGCAGACCTGAAACACGGTAGGACCAACACCTCGGCCGTGGCAGATCACTGTTATCATTCAGTAGGTTCACATGACATTGACTTCTCCAAGACAGAGGTTCTTTGCAAGCCATCTGGCTACCATGAGAGATTCGTTCATGAGGCTATCCACATATACAAACACAGAGACAATTTCAACTGAGAAGATGGATTCTGGCTTAGCAATCATTGGAAGGATTTGATAAACCATTTCAGGTCTTAATTGATTGATCACGCTTAAGGTGGCTTTCAGACCGCATCTATTATTTTTCGTCTCCCCCCTCCTCTTTTCCGAACATAGATGGACTCGTCCATCTGAACAAACTGTCAAATCTCTCTCCGTGGTGCTAACGTTAAAAATAACCGCCACTTTTTTCCAATTTTCTTGTTGTGGTTTTCACACCTGATGATGATTGCTTGTGTTGCAGTCGAAACGTCGTGATAATTTTATTGTTTTAGATATTTTTTTTTTTATTATTTTGTTTCCCTTCTACGTGACTTTACCGAAATAACCAAGAATATGCATCTATTTAGTTTTCCCCCCTTTAGTTACTCTTTAACAATGCAGTTGACTGTTGTATATTTTGTTGTCGCCAAGACATTCCATAGTGATCCATTCCCTACCATAATTAATCAATTATCTTTACGTTAAATTACGTTTAAGATGTAAGTAAAAAATACGGCTGCCCACAAGAGGGCAGCCAAAGAGCTGCATGCGGTTGGAGCAGCCACAGGTTTCCAACCTCTAAACTATCATATAAGTGGTGCACAATTTCAATCTCTTGATACAAATTAGGATATAGTAATAGGTTTTTACCCTTTTAGCTGGCACAAAAACTGACACCTTTATACAAGGGATCATGTTTGCAATAACCACAACACAAGCAGTAAAAAATGCAAACAAAAAGAAACAACTCTGATAATGATATGCACTGTTCTTGAATTTGATTGGTCCACACCTGAGACGGCTTTTCTTAGAGCCTAGTCTCCACTGGTGTTGGACCAGATGACACCATAAGGCGTACAACTCAAAAACAGCGCACTATCAGAGTATTGAGAGCTCGGGGTAAGCCTTTACATTATGAGACCTCCTTTGCCAGTAACAAGATATAGTAATAGGTTTTAACCCTTTTAGCTGAGTTGTACGCCTTATGGTGTCATCTGGTCCAACACCAGTGGAGACTAGACTCTAAGAAAAGCCGTCTCGGGTGTGGACCAATCAAATTGAAGGACAGTGCATATCATTATCAGAGTTGTTTCTTTTTGTTTGCATTTTTGACTGTTTGTGTTGTAGTTATTGCAAACATGATCCCTTGTATAAAAGGTGTCAGTTTTTGTGCCAGCTAAAAAGGGTAAAACCCTATTACTATATCTTGTTACTGGCAAAGGTCTCACATAGTAGGATGTTGGATAACATTTATAATTTAATTTCACAAAGTGCAAAATAAATGTAGTTGCAAGGGTATACCTGAAAATTAAAATATGTTTACGGTTTGGGTTTCAATGTTGGCCTCACAATAAAATGTAAATTCTTATACTTACGAGTAAATCAGAATGCAACGTTAAGATGACAGGGATAGAATTGGTCAAATGTAGCTTAGCATAAAAATCCCTGCTCGGATGAGTTCATTAATAATGAGCGACGTCATTCATGTGCCAGACACTCACAAACGCAGGCAGGATCAACTTTATCGGCTTGGAGCTCAGATAGCGCCGAGACTTGCGCACGGCAAACTTCTCAATGGCGATCGATTTCCCAGCAATCTTTTGCATCAGCTTTGGCACCTGCCTGCATTGAACACAAAGTTAAAAGCAGTATGCAACCAAAGTCAATGCCATTTGTGAAGTCTATTAATGTACAAGATTACAAGTGAGACCCAGGTATATCAATAATGTTATTAGAAGCTAACAGTTTAATTGTGGAAATATTATACATCCTGGAATTGAGCTGGAATGCCAGCAAATAGTCACATCCTGCAAATTATGGCATGACACGGTGTTTTTAACAAGCTTACAACCTACAATCTGTTGTCATTATTTCTGGAGGGGTGGGTCACTGGAAAATTTGTGGTAAATTTGTGTGGTCGATTTACATCAAATTCGTTGTTGGAAGGTCACAGTAATTGTGCTGCGATGACCTTTAGTTTGTTCTGTAAAATTGTACAGTAAATGTATTTTGCTTAGTTAAAATACTGTTATATATGTTATTCAAGATATAAATTCCTCTTCATAGATAAAGACAATAAAAACCTAGAGAATAATGCATTCTTTATGAAAACATTTTATATATTTGGGAAATTACATGAATATATAGTTGTCTTTATACATAGTAAGAGATATAGATTTATTAGCAGAGTTTATATGGTCATAAAGGACCCTTTGGTTATTATGAATGTGCTAATACATTCAGGTGTTATGCAAGCTGTCAGTAGTCTCGTGATATATGCGAGTAGTTTCGTGATATCTGTGGAGTTGGTGGTGTCTGTACTGAAATAGCAGTTGCGGATCCTCTCCTGTAGCTCGGAGCTCTTCATCCCCAAGCATGGAGAGGAACGCCGCCTTCTGGTAGATATAAATCGCCTGCACCGCCACACACATCGCTCCCTCAGCAGGGGCCAAAGACTCACCCCTGGCCATGCGTGTTACTGTTGGAACTTGAATCTGAACAATTACTCTTTGAGCGCTTCGAGTATCAGTCGGTATGAGCAGAATTGTGCCGTTAATGCGAGAGTGACATAAAACAACACTGTATGCCTAACTCAAAGTTTCCTCAGACTTAAAATGTCTGCGCTAAAAAACTGAATTTCCATGATCCCACAATCATTGCTTAGGGTAACTCTGGGTAAGGAACCATCATCCAAAAATCAGTACTTGCTCTGTATATCTAGGCATAGGAATATGTGTGTGTGCCTAGCAGTGGTGTGGTGGTCGGTGTAATAAGATACAATTCTACTTAAATTGAGCTTTTAATAAACTCCTTGTTAATATCAGCTGTACAGATATAAACACAGCTCGACAAATGTACAGTTTAATACACCACCCTGCTGTGCACCCAACCCTCACGAGTCTTAAGACGTTTTCAGGAAGATCCTACTTAATCTAGATGTTTGGCTAATTGCATTCATGAGTGTTTGACACAAGAGGATAACAGAGCGTAGTAGAAAACCCACACGTACGATGGTGCAATGCTCGGCACTGCTTTCTTAAGGCCAGCCTGCAGCTCCGTGCCTCTAACACCTGAAAAGTGCCGGTAGTGACCCATCCTAATAGTAGCTAGGCTCAACCCTGCTTACTGATTGCCCATTCTGCAATGGTGAATGTGTGCGCGTGCGTGCCTTAGACCAGCGGCTCTCCTGGCTAAGCTTGTTGGCGAGTGCGCTAGCTGCCAACCAGTTCTGCTGGAAGGCATGGCACCACATCATCTCCCAGAAGCAGATGTGGTGGAGCTGCTTAAGCTCCTGCTGACAGCCAATGCACGTCTCGAACACTGAGATTGCCTATGACGCACAGGCCACAGACAGGGTCAGAGAGACGTACATACACAAGACCCAGAATACGCAAGAGAGAGTGAGGCAGACACTGTCATAGATAATACCGATGCGCCCTTTTGGCCAGTATCAAAATGATGATAAAAGAAGAATAGGCTTTACCCTTTTCTGGCAATGAAACAGGTGTTAAGATGTTCAAACATTAAAGATACCTATTTCAAAGCATCAAGTGTGCATTAAGCACACGTACTTGTGGAAAAAACATGCAAACATCCTCTGATAGATAGTAGTAATCCTTTAGAGACTGCTCTGCGATTGCGATTTTATAAAATTGTCATGATTCAGTTTTAGAATATATACTTAACACTGGTGGATGAAGTGCATCCAATTGTATACAACACAAATTAATTAAATACAATTCTTACATACTTGATTGAATGTATATACAATGCATGTCAGAATCTATTTACATTTTTAATCTTAATTTTAAGCTTTCATAACTGCAGGAAACCATACTCTTTGGTTCTTTCGGTAAAGTACTCGATGAATCACAACACCAACAGGTTAGCAACAGGCTGATATAGCGGGACAAAAGCAAAGTAGAGACTCTAAGAGATGCAGGGAGACTGATAGAGGCCAGGTGGAGAGTGGACAGAAATGGGTAGACGCTAGATCATGCCAATTCAGTATTTGGATCTCTTAAATTTCCTGACTTCAATGTCTGTGTAAGCCTTCTGTGTATGAGCTTGCAGGGGTGAATTATACCTCCTCAACGTTTCCCTTCACTTCCTCAATTCGCCCAGCATACATGAGGAAGAGTGCACCCTGCACACCAGAACACCATGGTGAATGTCATAGCCTGTAATTAATGGAGGCATTACTTGTACTGTCATACCCCGATTTACGTGTTCTCCTTTTGTGTAATTTCACAAATACGTCGTCACTTGAATAATGCCGCAATCTGATTTGCGTCGCCTCAACCCACACTTGCGTTGCTGACAGCATCATCATCCATCCTTTATCGTATCCGTCGCCTCAGCCTTCACCTCCCCTACCCTGTACACTAACTACTTTGCATCGCGCATAAATAAATGTACTGCAGAATACAATATATTATATATGTACAGTTTTTTTGTGATGTTATTATAGTGTACTGTACCTTATTGGATATTCTATATAATCTGTGTTAAAGTTTACTCTCTACACTCGTGTTGAGTACAGTATTTTCAGTCATTTAATGTAACGTGGGTACGCCTACGATGAAGACGCACATTACGACACAGCTTCACCGTACCCACCATTGTTTTGGTTTCGCTCTCGTGGCGTGCAAACTACGTTTGGTTCAATTTACGTCGTTTTGATCTTCATCATGACTTTCAGGACCGCATCCCCGATGTAAAACTAAGTATTATTGTCCGACAAAATGTCTTCCACACTCAATTAAGCATATCGAGAGTCTAGATAATCACAATCACTGAATTAATTAATGCTTTGTTTCAAACCTATGTTGCAATATATGCATTATTACGTGATGTGAGGTTACAGCGAGGTACTCACATTGGGGTACTTCTTGAGATAGGGCTGGAGCAGAGACTCTGCCTCTTCGAGGTTACAGTCGCCATTGCCTGCCAGTGTAACACGAGTCACAGCATTTAGACCATGCACAACACAGCCTGTGTTGCGTGTGACCTCTCAGAATGCCCTGCAGTCTAATTTACGTCTAGCATTAACACAAAGCTGTAATTGTAAAACAGGTTAGCATTGCAATTGCCCATGAAAGGTAACACAAGAAGTAAAGTCATTGGTGTGTATGAGTCGTGTCTTGCCAAGGATGATGCAGATGAATGTCTGGTAGAAGAGGAGGACGAATACACAGAGCACAGCGCGGATCCCGGGCAGAGCGGCGCCCTCCCGCAGTTGGGTCAGCCCAAACTCCTGCACGCATGGGGACGCACAAAGGACGTACGGGAATTTTAAAAGATATACCAGGGATAGGCCAACGTGTGCAGACAGTTATAGATGAGGATGCACAGAGAGGATCATACAATGAATGGTGATAGACACCGATTCCTGGGGACACAAGACATATTAGACACACGAGTGAGACATTCGGATCTATGTAACTTTCAGGCTGTCAGTTGACACAGTGAGCTTATTATTGAATATGCTTACAGGTGTGTCTCGCTTAATGAGAGAGGTACGTTCCGCGGAAATTGCTCGTTAAGCAAAAACTCGTTAAATGATCATCGTGTTCACACTGACTCCCATGTTAAAAGCTGAGATACGTTTTTCAGCCCAAAAATGTTCCACTCTTGAACAACTTTTTTCATGTGGGAAATACAAATGATAATTTTTTAATAAAACATCAAATGTAACACACGAAGAACCACAGTGCAAGATTCCCCGTATAGCCTTAACAGACTATTAGGGTGAACATTTATGAAGGTCGTTACGGCACACAAGGGGTGGGTGGCCAGCACACCTGGCCGCCTTTGTTTCCCCCCAGTTGGTGATGTTTATACACTGCACCAGGAACTAATTTGAGGCGATGTCGACTTATGGGAGGCCCAGGACTGGTTCAGATAATTGTCTCTAGTGTTGGCCATGAGCGGGAATCGAACTCGGGTCGCCGGGTTTGTAGCGTCGCGCGCCAACAGTTACACTATCACATAAAGTCTTCTAAAGCCAACCAAATACAACACAAAGCTAGCGAATTATTATTAATAGAGAGAATACAGCACACCAGGAGTGAATTATCTTACATTTCGGAATCGCTAAAGCAGTTACACTTAGATATAAGCAATAGTGTATCCATGCATTATTGGAATATAATCGAAACCATAACACAACAATCGGCTGATAATGTGTTTAATCTAACAAAAACTAGCCAAATGAATACATTTTCTAAACTTCATAATAAACAAATCCCTACTAAAAACGAACAATGTAAAAACAAAACCGTAATGAACTTGACTAACTGTTTTAACCAGTGACATGATCTGTCCTTTCTAAAGGCCTTAACTTTGCCGTTACCCCACGCACAATTCCAGTGGATGAGATAATTGCTGAGGTAGAATCAGCAGTAAGACTACTTCCACATAATGAGGCAGAGATGACTAGACACGAGGTTGCCAAAATAATTGAGAATAGCAAAGTTCCAAAAGTAAATATTAGCTTGAACAAAGCAAAAGCCTTAAGAGAGCTCCGTTTAAATAAAGATATCCAAATCCTGGCAGCTGATAAAGGCCGCACTACTGTAGTGATGTCACGAGCCGATTATGATAATAAATTTCGATTTAAAGCTTTCGTGACTGCAAGGATTCATCTTCTTTGGTTCTTTCGGTAAAGTCACGTAGAATGAGAGGATTCATCTTTTTAAAATATGATAAAATTAGAAATTTACTAGAGGAAAGTACCTACATTAAAATTAAACGAGATCCAACTAATACTTTAGAACGTAAGACTACTGCAATCATTGCAAATTCATTAATCCCAAAGAATGAGCAATACCAAATTAAGCCAAGGGCCTCAAAACCACCTCGGCCGTATGGGCTACCAAAGATTCATAAAATCGGCATCCCATTACGACCCATAGTAAGTACAATTGGCTCTGCCACATATAAATTAGCAAAATATATAACTAAACAAATACAGCCCTAAATTTCGATTTAAAGCTTTCGTGACTGCAATTATTCATCTTTTTAAAATAAAATAAGACAATAAAATTCTCACGACGTTTCGGCCACAACACAAGTAGCCTTCATCAGGTGAAAGAACAGAACTGTCGGGACGACAGTGCTCCAATGAGCGTTGTTAAGATTCGTAGCGTCTTTTTAAGCTCGGTGAGAGGTGTGAAACCTCTTGACAAAAGAGTTTAAGTATCAAAGCAGGAGAATTTAGCATTGAAATAGCTGAGGGATTGGCTTGTGACAGAAATAGATGGATTCTGGCTTAGTAACCATTAGTTTATTGTTTCCCTTCAACGTGACTTTACTGAAAGAGCTAAGAACATTGGAAAGATGTTTTAAACCATTTTGGTTCTTAATTGTATTTTACGGTGACCGTCAGACCGCAGCTCTTTCGCTGGCATTACCTTACCCAGTTGCTTTGTGATTAATAGCTCAGCTTATTGAAGAATATATTAAGTACATTTATTATATTGATGTAATACAGACCCAGTTTTTTCACATCGGTTTACTGTATGAAAGTTGGGTAGTTGGAGGCCTTTAGCGTCCATATACTAAATGCCTCGGTTGATAGGTAAACTTTGACTCTAACATAGCTATTTCTGTCACAAGCTAATCCCTCAACTATTTCAATGATAAATTCTCCTGCTTTGATACGTAAACTCCTTTGTCAAGACGTTTCATGCCTCTCACCGAGCTTAAAAGACACTCATATAGTTTAGTGTATACCCAGTTGCTTTGTAATTAATAGCCCAGGTTATTAAATATATTAAGTACATTTATTATATTGATGTAATATAGACAGTTTGTTTCACATCGGTTTACTGTATGATAGTTGGGTAGTTGGAGGCCTTTAGCGTCCATATACTAAATGCCTCTGTTGATAGGTAAACTTTGACTTTAACATAGCTATTTGTGTCACAAGCCAATCCCTCAGCTATTTCAATGCTAAATTCTCCTGCTTTGATACTTAAACTCCTTTGTCAAGAGGTTTCACGCATCTCACCGAGCTTAAAAAGACGCTACGAATCTTAACAACGTTCATTGGAGCACTGTCGTCCCGACAGTTCTGTTCTTTCACCTGATGAAGGCTACTTGTGTTGTGGCCAAAACGTCGTGAGAATTTTATTGTCTTATTTTATTTTATTATTTTATTCTCATTCTACGTGACTTTACCGAAAGAACCAAAGAAGAAAAAAAAATACAGCCCTACATCGGTAGGACATCTTCATTCATAAGAAATTCAGAACATCTTGTGAATGTGATTAAAGATATTAAACTTAACCCTAATGATATTCTGGTAAGTTTTGATGTGATTTATCTATTCACTAAGGTTCCAGTGAACGAATTGCTTAAATTACTTGATACACTAGTAAAGAATACAGGTTTACCAAAAGATATTACAAAACTTGCTGACCATTGTTTAAATAACACTTACTTCTTATGGAAGGAGAAGCAATGGGCTCTCTTTTATCTCCTGCTATAGCAAATCTGTACATGGAAAACTTTGAAATAAGAGCACTTGCCTCGAGCACATTAAAACTATCTTTTTGGTTTAGATATGTGGATGACACTTTGGTTGTCTGGCCACATGGTAAAGATACACTTAATGATTTTCGAAATCACCTCAATGCACAAAACCCAGCCATCCAGTTCACCATGGAAATGGAGGTGACTAACACACTCCCTTTCCTAGATATTTTGCTTGGACATGGCCTGAACGGTAAAATAACACACGGCGTTTACAGAAAGCAAACGCACACTGATGCCTATCTGAATGCAGATTCGCATCATCACCCAGCTCAGAAATCCTCTCTTATCAAGACGCCCATACATCAGGTTAAAACAGCGTCAGATGGTGAAAGTCTAGTGAGAGAGATTAAACATGTTAAAGAAGCACTACGACAGAATGGCTACAATAATGCTCAAATTAACAGAGCACTAAATGCCAAATCACGATCGCAAAGCAACACTGCTGAAAGCGATCAAATTGTCAAAACAATTAAAATTCCATATATCTCAGGAGTAACTGACAAATTAGCCCATGTTTTGCAAAACATTACAGTAAGATTTGGTACAGTACACAAAATAAAAAAAACTAGTATCTTGCATTAAAGACGAATTACCTAAATTATCAACAGAAGGTGTATATCGGATTAATTGTTTATGTGGCAGGTGCTACATTGGACAGACGGGACGTAACATCAGCATAAGACTAAAAGAACACCAAAGAAATATTAAATTATCTCAAACACAACTGTCGGCAGTGGCAGAACATGCTTGTCAACAAGGACACTCAATTGATTTTGATAACGTTGAAGTGTTGTGTAAAACTAATTATTACTGGCAAAGACTAATTCGAGAATCCATATTACGTAGCTCTGACAGCTACAGGCTTAGTGCGGCTTGGAAGCGTATTATTAAATAATACACATTAAAATTCCGTATAGGGGAAACACATACTAATTAACGGATCACTAACGTAGCATATAATCACAATAACACACATTACAACTAATTACTAATTTACAACTCATTACTAATCATAACCATTGACTGATTACCAATCGATTATATAATTACAATACCCCCCCCCCCCTCCACCTCAAATTACTGCACCTGAATGAGTTAAATTATTACGTCACTCTGCTGCTCTATTTAAGACCGGGAGCAAGCGAGGGCTTTACCATTCTGGCGAATTGCCCGATGACGCTGGATGTAATTACCAGCGAAAAGTCGTATTCAAACTGTAAATGTTGTGGATTCACTCTTCAACACACCGGTGGGCTAAAGTAGTGAACTATTTGTCTCGTCAACGTGACACTTTTTTACTGATTGGCCGTGTCGGGTGGTGGAGGGTCACGACACATTTATAAACAACGCGATCTAACCCAAAAACCTTTATTATGAATAATATTGGTCGCGAAAGCCTACGTGTTAAACTGAGTTACACCACCACTTCCGCCACCCACGAGGCACCCTTCTCCCACATGACCAAACACGCGCACTCAGCACATCTGGTAAACAAACAGCTGCGGGCCACAGTACGCCTCCTGCCGCCAACGATGCATATCTATCAATCAGTCTCTGCTCGATAAGCAAACATTTTGCTCGTTATGCAAACAAATGGGTCCAAATGAAAATTGCTCGTTATAGAAAATTCTTGTAGAAAGAACACTCGTTAAGCTGAGACGTGCCTGTGCTATATTATTGTATTATTGGATTTAATTTATGTCTTCCTACAGCTGG